CAGAAAACCTAGGTTTATAAAGCTTTTAACTAATGCTTAATCCCATCATTCTTATTCTTTAGAAAAAGTACAAATTGCTATGCTGGGTATCTTTGCAAAAGAATTAAAAGAATCATATCACAGTGATATATGCACATCTATGTTTATAGTGGCATGGTTTGTAATAGCTAAAACTTGGAAACAGCCCATTTGCTCATCAGTTGGAGACTGGATAAAGAAGATGTGGTTTTTCTATAAAATGGAATACTACTCAGCCATAAAGAATGAGAAATTAGTCATTCGTAGGAAAATGGATACATATTGAGGATATATTCCTAAGTAATAATAAATAAGTCACACATGTATAAATACCGAATAGTTTATCTGGTGTGAAAAACTATAATGGTACATAAGATCCTAATGATATAAATGACAATATGAAATAGGAAGAAAAGGGCTAAAGGTGTAGGGGAAGTGGGAAGGGTAAGGGAAAGGTAATAAGGGAAAAGAAAAAAATATGAGAAAATGAAAAAATGGAAATAAAGTGTTTGTAAATGGGGAGAGGAGGAGGGGGTGAAGGGAGGGCAGGGACAAGGGGAAAATTGAGAAACAAGATGTGTTACGTAAAGATATAAGATCCCAATGATGAATGTAACTGTACTGTATACCTAAAATGTACCAATAAACTCAATGAGAAAAAAAAAAGAAAAAGTACAAATAAAAAATTTCCATTTCTCAAACTACAGAGGCAGTGATCTGAGATTTTTAAAAGATCTGTAGTGAGAACCTTTTTAGAATCAGGTTAATGATCAATACCAATAACAGGATGAAAACAAGATGAGGTAAACTATCAGTATTTTTTTAACATCTTCTGAGAGTTATTACCATTTGCTGGCAAGTTCATTCTAGTGGTACAGCTATAACACGAGATGCTCTTGAAATTATAAAATACCAGACAACTAATAATTAAACTAGTATTGGTTACTAAAAGTCACTCATCCCTTCCAAAGATACTATAATGACTTTCTTCATCCACTAATACAAAATAGGTTACTAGAGTTAGAAAACTGAGCATTTCATTCATTTCTTGCATTTCTTTCAATACATTTTCTATATACTGTGCATCTAAGAGATGTGTGGTTGTGTACCTGACCACAAGAAACATAACATTACCCACACCAATGTGCCTTTGAAAGACAAATTTCTGCATCCCAATCTGTGCATCTCAATCTCCTCTGATTCCTCTTAAAGGCAGCCACTGTATAGGTGTGCTGTACGTTACTGGACCAGTCCTGCTGACACTTAGCTTTGTTTTCTGCTGTTAGAAACATAGCCGCAGTAAACATCTTGTCTAGAATCTGTGTTCTATGAGTGCATCTTATCTCAGCATGAACTCAGAACTGCTGGGTCAAAGTGGCTATGAACTTTAGATACCAATTCACACACCCAACACCAAAAAGGCCACCCTTTTACCCTTTATCAGTATGGGTGTCAGAAGGCCTACTTATCACACTCTTCTTCCCACCAGGTGTTATTAAAATGTTTTCCTTCTATGCTAATTTGATAGAAGTAGCTCAGAATGTCCACCTCCCCAAGTTTACTCACTCTTTGTATTTACTTTTTATACAAGAAACAATCTCTTTATATTTACCCATTGCCCATTTTTTCTGAGTTCATTTTTTATAGATTTCTAAGAGTTCTTTGTATATTAATGGAATTAACCTACATCCATTATATGCTAGAAGCAATTTTCTAGTTTAATATTACTTTTTGATTTAAATGTTCCCTAGTTTAATTTTACTGTTTTCTTAAAGATAAGGTCTTGCTATGTAGCTCAGGATGGCCTCTAATTCACAGCAATCCTCCTGCCTCAGCCTTCCAAGTGCTGGGATTATGGACATTAGCCACCATATCCGGCTAATACTACTTTTTTTTTTGGTACCAGGGATCAAACTTGGGACCTTGTGCTTGCAAAGCACGGAGCAGAACCACAGATCTAAATCTCTGGCCCTAATACTACTTTTTGATATTTTCTTTACATACTGTTAGACATTGTGTCAGGCTTGGAAAGGCCTTTTACATTACAAGGTTACAAGAAACAATACCTATATTTTCTCCAAGTTCTTAAAAATACAGCTTCATAATTTTCCAAATTGGACTGTTTCAATTCATCTACAGAATAATACATCCTAATCTTTTTAAGTTTATAATTCTGGTCAAAATTGTCCTAGACTGTTTTTACTGGTACAGTAATGGGTTCTCTCACTTGTTATTAAAGAAAGGAAGTAATCATAAAGCAATGACCTTGTTGACACCATTTACTCCACTTACCTTTGTGACTGCTCAGAGGGCATATACCAAACTAGAAGTTTTAAGAAAAACAAAAGGAAGTACTATTTTACACATTAAGTTACACAGTGATGGACTAATTATTCTGAAATGAATTTACTCATTGAAAATACAAAGTCAAAGAAAGCTCAGATAAATGAAAGGATAGTAGGATCAAAATAAATTACTGAAGGAGAACTTCTTTTAAAAGATACAATTTACTCCCAAGTTCAAAGTCCTGAGTTCAACCCGTAAAAAACAAACATACCATAAAAGATACAATTTAAAAGAAAAACAACATGATCAGGACACAGGATAGCAGAGAGCTGGGGGTTGGGGAAGTGATCTTAAACTCGCCTGTGTGGAAAGTCCAAGTTTAAATTAATTGATTCAGAGACAGTGACCTAGAAGGTGGTTCAGAACATCATGCTGAAGATGTGCCCCTGAGGGATAGAGGCCCAGCTTCCCTGATGTACCTACCTTCAAAACAAAGATGTCCCAAGAGAAAGCCATGTCAGATTAAACATAACATTCCTATAAACACACACTTGGAACTAATGCAATTTTCTTACTGACATTCAGAAAAACAAAGAATGAGCAAAGTGGAGAACGGAACTTTTTAAAGTTACCAAATAACAATAGCCACCTGGCTTCTTACTTACTTAATTTAAGGCATCTGGTATTTATAAAAGGGACTGTAATTTTTGTCTATTTAAATTGTACTAATATCTTAGATAACTGAGATCAGAGACAGCTGCTAAAAACATTTCTACTTGATTTCAAGTAAACTCAAATTGGGTGTGGATGTAGCCCAGTGGCGCTGCGCTTGCCTGGCAAGCAAAAGATTCTGAGTTCAATCCCCAGTACCAAAAAATCCTAAAAACAAAACAACAACAACAAAAAGAAATAAACTCAAATTAATGATGGTTATTATTTCTGAATTTTATTTCTACTTTTTCTTTGGCTTCCAAAGAATCTGATTAGATTTAATGCTAAATTAAATCCAACTTTTTCTAAAGAAAAAAAAAAAAAAGGTCAGTTTAGTTACCTTTTAAATAAGCTGGGGAAAAATTTAGACTTCAGTAATCAATTAATATTACTATACTTAAATACTAAGACATTTCTTTGTAACAGAGCAAGATTTGAACCTGATTTTGAATTTGTGTTACTGGCTAACATGCTTTAGTCTATCCTGAAATAATGGCTTGAGTAGATTCCTTGAATTAAAGTTAAGATTAATATTATCTTTTTGCTTCCTTCATTTATTCTACAATCTTTTCACTATTTTCCCTTTTACTGAAATTTTGCCCTTTACTTAATGTCACCATTTAATAGTTTCTTTTATAACTCTGTGAATCTCATTCGAGTTCATTATGTTCCCAGGGACCCTTGACAATGTCTGGAGACACTCTTGGCTGTTACACTGAGAAGTCAAGGTGCTATCAGTAACAGAAGGGAAAAAGGCAGGATGGGTCCCAATCATTCAGCAGCACACAGAATGGGCCACAGTGATGGGGTAACAGGCCTCCAATGTCAATAGTGCCCAGGGGAAAATAAAGGAATAGCTTTCTTCACATTTCACAGCAAGCAATCTTTAAATGACCAATATTCTCAAGTATAGCATTACAGAGTAACAAAATATAGACAACTGTTTAACTATGGTGATCACTTTGCTTCCGAATTTTAAAGATCTAAGTCAGACTAATTTGTGATTCCAGAGAATGATATCCAGAGAGGCTTTTTTTCCCACCCTTCCCTAGAAAAACTTTTAAAATGTAGTTAAAATATAGTACATTGATAAACTCTCTTGAAAGGTTATTTGGGGGTGTGTGTGTGTATATGTGTATGTGTATATTATGTGGTGTTTGGAATTGAATCCAGGGCCTCATGCATACTAAATACTTTATCACTATGCTACAGCCCAGGCCTCTTAAAAGTTCAAGATATATTCTGTAATAAAATAATTACAAACATGATAATTAGGCTTAATGTAATTTAAAAACTTTTATGTAGTTAAAAAAGAGAACATCTCTTAAGGCTCATTCATTTCTACAGATGTATACCACAAATTTTGATACCTATCTTCTCAGTTTCCTTCTTGTCATTTACTCTGGACAGGCATTTGGCAATAAACACAGATTCTTTCAAACTGCTTAAATTTTAATTACAACTAAAGCTTTATTGTATTTTTCTCAAATAATTCCACCATTCTAAGTCTTCTAGAAGCAACACAATAACATAAGTGTCAAGTGTCTGGATCTGCTTATGACTTCGACCTGTATCACATCTATCAGCACAATAAGGGGATTCTAGCTCTGAGAATAGTAGCCATATGCAAATGTCCTGGTCTAGCCACATCAGTGACAATGACCTCCTCATCAACAGGACTGTCTCTACTTCCTGCATCCTCACTTCAAAGAGTATTTATAATTTCTGATGTTTATGTTTAAAGTATGACAGACTTATAAGCAACTCTCAACAGCCTGTCTTTTTTCTTATAGATAATTTTGAAGACAGTCTTTTATAGGCTTAACAGGTAAGTTCTTTGTTAATAGCCAAAGGAAATGCCACCAAAAAGCCTAAATGCTACATTATTTATTCTTTCAGAGGATAGCAATAGCTATAATGCACCATAAGATTTCACAAATGCACTTTGCTTTAAGTCACAAACAGCAAGAGGATGCAAGACATACCTGGTTGTTGCTGTTGACAGCTGATGAACTGGTTTGAGCTACACTTGCTGAGAGGGAATCAAGGAAAGCTTGGTCAGCCACTGAATTTCCACAAGAAAATGGATCTTTTCCATCGTTGGGTAAAGTCTGAGTATTAGAAAGAACTTCCATTATTTTCATAGATTAGAGTCAGTGATTTCAGAGTAAGAGGCTCTGAGAGCAAGCAAGGTTTGTCATTTATTATGGAAAAGGAGTTTATGCTCTTTAGTGTTATACATTTTCCTCTTAAGGGCCTGCTTTTGCTGCAATGTAATTTTGATAAATTGTCTTTTCATTGTTAAACTATTTTTTAATTTCTTGACATTTCTACTTCGACATGAGTATTTATAACTGAGTTAATTTCTAAGTATTTTGGAATTTTCCAGCGATCTTTCTGTTACGGATTTTAATTCCACTGTGGTCTAAGAGCTACTCCCTTTTTAGGAGTATATATTTTAATTTTTAGTTAAATAAACATTTTTTGCAGTGCTGGGGGTCAAACCCTGGGCCTTGCTCAGGCTAGGCATGTGCTCTCCCATTGCTGTATTTCCTTTCTTTTTAAAAGTGTTGAAATATATTTTATAGTTCAGAACATGGTCTACCCTGGTGGACGTCCCACGTGAGTTTGAAAAGAATGTGTAGTGTGCTGTTGTTGGATGAGGCAGTCCACAGATGTCCATCATATTCAGCTGACTGACAGTGCTGTTTAGTTCAACTGTGTTCTTACTGATTTTATTTACTGGATCTATTTCTGCTGGGGGGTGGTTATGTTCTTAAAAGACTAATTTAAAGATGTATGAAATAACTATTTCTTTTTTAGAAGAATTCTAAAAGATGAAGTCAATGCCAATATCAACTTAAATTTTCAATTTTTTTTTCAATCTTCTGCATTTTTAGGATTCCATGTGCCCAGTGCATAAAGCTAAAACAGATGTAAACCTCAGACCGATTGACTGAGCCCAGATGCACACGAATTATCTGGAACCATACGGATAAGGTTAGTGCATATGCTTGTGCACACATTTCTGAAGGTGAGGTCTACAGATTTCATCCGATTTTCCAAAGGGTTTGAAACTCACCATCTGTCTCTTAAGAAAACCAGAAAAAGAGCCTTCCTTCCCATTTTGCAGTTAGTTGGCCGTAGGAAAATATCTCCCCAGGGGCATTCATTCTCTTTACTGGAGGTGGACCAGAACACCTTAATTCTTGAGCTAGCTCGGGTTTTATTCACAGGGCCCTAGGCAACTTTAGTTTCTTTTGTCACCCAAGAAGAGAGGCAAGGACATCAAGTTACCCAGAAACTTCTCTTAAGAGACCTACAAACAACCAGCAGAGGGCACCAGGTGGCTGATTTAGAACAAGATGTGTCTGAGTGGGTGTGTCTGAGGACACTTCTGTAGGGTGACACAATCCCTGGCACCTATCACAGATACCAGGCAATTTTCTTAGCAGTCCATTCAAAATACCCTTCCATCTAAGTGAAAAGGGAAAGGAACCAAGAGTAATGTTCTTCTAGAAAATCTAAACTTTGTTAATCAATTCTACAACAAACAGTGCTCTAGATAGCAGCTATTATGTAATATCAGCCAAGGAAAAATAGAGACTTTTATTCAGAAAAAGTAAAAGTTTCTCTACTTGAAATAAATGTAATCTAAATATCTTCAGTTGTTCATTGGAGCTTGGGTCTATAGGCAATATACTTCAGTGTATTTTATATAATTGGTGTTTACTGCATATATAATGGAAATTTTTTTAAACGTTGCTATCTTCCAGGCTGTCCTTTAACTTGATAACTGATAAAACACTCTTGTCAAAGATGACCTTTAATTCATCAATGACAGTAAGTTCTTACTTCAACATAGTCGGTGGGAACAAGTCCTCGTTCTCCTTTGCTGTTTCTTCCTTCCAGCCATCCTCCACCAACATCCTAAAGAAGTTACCAGGGGTGGGAAAAAAGATTTTAGTAGGGAATTTCCTTGGAAATTCTGCTTTGGGAATTGTTATAATTTATAAATTTTTAGAATAAAAAGTAATTGATATTGAGCTTTTTATTATTAAAGAACGCTTTGAAATTTTAAATAAAATCAAGACAAACAACTTCAACAATAAGTGATTAAAGACAAAATAGCTTTTCCTTAAATTACCATCACTTTGTGATTTTTATTTATTCATGTGGTAGATGACAAATGTGGTCATAGCCCTGTCAGGTAGTGGAATGCACATCCCTGCCCCTGAATCCATACTGCCTTTTGTGATCCATCTGCTAATAATCCACAGGTGTTCAGAGTCTAACCTCAAGGAGCTCTGCACACTTCAGTTCACTCTCTTGGAACCCAACACTGCTATTTGAGTTAATCTGAGTTGTTAGAAGCTGAGTTTCCCTTTTGCCTCATTCACAGCCAACCCAATCCCAGGAGAACAGCCAGACAGGTAGGTGAGGCCATCCTACACCATATGGTCCCCGGCTGGGTCCAAGTGACTACAGACAGCAGCACCATCCAATAACTCATAGATGCCTATGCAGTAACACATGGGTATTGGTTTAACACATTCAGAACAAGGCTGTAGTTCATATGTCTCAATGTTGGGTGGCCTGAACCACTGGTAGTATATGGCTGTCTTATCAGGTGGCTTTTTATTAATTAATTTTATTAGTAAAAGACCAATAAAAGTGATACAATTCACTGTACCACCAGAGGTAAAAGCTGCTCGATATGTGTTAAACCACTAAGTTTTGAGATTGTTGCACAGAAATAGCTAATGATCCATGGTCTTTAGTTCTTCAGGATAAAGAATATTAATTAACTAAATAATACAGTAGAACTCTACAATGAGGTTCCTATTTTTCTTACTATTCTGTAAAGTCCCATTTCTTGCCCTGAAAATAATTTTCTTAGGTTTATCAATAATGTCAGTTAATAATTATTTCAGTCTGGACAAGCACATTCTTCTCCTTTGATACATAAAAATTATACATACTTGTGGAATATCATGATATTTCAATATATGTATAAATTGTGTAATGTTTAAGTAAGGGCAGGCATTTCTAGCTCCTCAAACAATTATTATTTCTTTGTGGTGAAAACATTCAAAATCCTTTTAGTTTTGAAATAGTACATTATAGTTAAATGAATTGTTTTTTAAAAATCAAGTCACAACTTTTGTCACTTTTTGGCCACAACAGCAACAGGAAGACAATACTATTTTATAAAGAAAATAAAATACTGCATTGAAAAAAAATTAGACCAAAGAATCTTCAATCTTTCTTGCAATTAAAACGAAGACTATTTGCTTATATACACGTATTACCCCAAATTACTACAAGTACTTGTTCTATCCAATAATTCTTTTTTTGTATCTAAGGCATATAAAATAGGTTCTCAATTAATCTCACTATTTACTTTGCCACTTGGGGTTCTCCTTCCCTGACCTTCGTGTTCCCAGACCTCACTCATACTTGCTGCTTCTTCCACCTCCTGACCCAACTTGCTCTGCATGGGAGCCTGCCTGGTCTTCAGCTCTTCCTGCCAGCCTTGAACTGATGCAGCATTACAGGACAGGGCTGACTAGGCACTACTCTCTCTGCTCAGCATACATGAAATTATACTCATGTTAATCCTTCCAGAGAAGTTCTTCTACCTGGATTATATCCCTTTATATAGCCACCACTCTCAGGGCCAAGGCCAACTGCCTTGGTGACCCTGGCCTCTTTCTTCCCTCACCTACAACATCTATTCATGTATCACATCCTAAGTGTCTGACTCTCCAAGCCTCTTTCACCCTGGCTGCACAGGTCAGTCACACCCCTAGACTCCATGATTCCAGCTCATTCTCAACACTGTGCTAAACTTACCTTCTTGATGTGTATACCTCATGTCATCTTTATAGCAATATTGACAAAACCCACAAGAGACCCTTCAAGGAACCCATTGCTCACTAAATCAGGTCCACAGTCTGGGGCCTCACCCACAGAGCTGTCTGACTGGTTCTGAGAGCTCATTTTCATAGCCTGTTTCCTGCTGGCATATATACATCCTGTGTCCCTGGGACACTCGTTTACATATGATGTGCCCCAGGATCTAAAGACAGATGTGGCTTTGACTTCTGTTCAGCCACTTACAAGAAGAATGATCACGGACTTCATGGGGAAAGTATGTTAAAGAAAACATACATTGAAATTGGCCAAACACTTGGATTATCAGCTATCAGTCAAATGACAGCTGAGGCTGGTAAGAAAGCACTGAGTAATTTCAAATTTCTATACTTTTTTCTTCATGTTCTTCTTTTTTTTTTTTTCCAGTACTGGCAACTGAACCCAGGGGTGTTCTAACACTGAATTTTACTATCCCTGAGCTCATTTTTTTTTTTTTTTTAACTTTGAGACAGGATTGTGCTAGGTTGCTCTGGTGGTCCTCTAGAACTTTTGATCCTTCTGTATCGGCCTTTCTAGTAGCTGAGAATGGCTCTGACCATGCTTTGCCTGAAATATCTTTGCATTTCAGTCCAATGAAACCTCATCCACATTTCAAGATCAAGTCAGATTTCATCTTTTGCATGAAAGCCTGTTATGATGAAAATATACGTAGCAATGGGCCTCTCCTCTGAGCTGCCAGTAGCAATGTGTCCACAGAAAAGCCCATGAGACTTTTATGCATGCCTCTTGATCTCTTAGATCACAAGCTCCTTATGGAGAAAGAGGGAAAAACCAGAGAAGTCCTTATGTTTATTCCTCTAGGTACTTAGGACTAGCTTCTTGCACAGCAAAGGCATAAATAAATAAAACCTTATTGAACAAAAAAATGTTTTGGATAAATTTGAATCCCATAATGGTTTGAGAAATAAAAGGATACTGCAGCTAGGTACTGTAGCACATGTACATAATCCCAGCTACTCAGAAGGCTGAAGCAGGAGGATTACAAGTTTAAGGCCAGACTGAAGCAACATGACCAGATCCTTTTTTAAAATAAAAACCAAAAAAAAAAAAATTGCTGGGGATGTACCTCAGTAGTAAAATGTCCCTGGGTCTGATCCCCAGCACTGCAAAGAAAAAAAAAAAGACATTGAATATATATGTTCTAGGACATGTTATCCTCAGAGAATAAAAATCTAGGAAATGTGGGCTGGGCATTTAGCCCAGTGGTCCCAGTGCCCGCCCCTAAGCACAAGGACCAGAGTTCAATCTCCAGTACCAACAAAACAAAACAAAACAAAAAACCCCCAAAAAGCAAACTAGGAAATGTGATCTCCTACAGTAATCTATCAAACTTGAGGCTGAGCATATCTAATACTTTGTTGATATTAATATTCTAGTAAGTTTTTGCCAGGTGTGGTGGCACGTGCCTATAATCCCAGCACTTGTAAGGCTGAGGCAAGAAGATCACTCAAGTCTGAGGCCACCTAGACTATATAGAGAGATACTGAATTCAAGCCCAGTCTGAACTATATAGTGAGACCCTGTCTCAAAAAAACAAAAATAATTGCTTCTCAGCCTTTTGGCTAAGATCAAGTATAAAAAAACCAATAATAAATAAATAAATTTTTAAAAATCTTAAAAATCGAGTGAGTTTTCAAGTTAAAAGAAACTTAATTTTCAAGTCAGCAAAGTTCACGTGGATACAATGGTTAAATCTATTTTTTAGAGATATGTATTGAGAAAAAGATTTTTTTTTGACAAAGTCTCATTATACTGTCCAGGCTGGCCTTGAAATCCTAGGCACAAGTGATCTTTCTGCCTCAGCTTCCACATCAACTGGGACTACAAACACATACCACTATATCTGATGTAAATCTTTATGAATGAAATGATACATAGAATTTGCTTCAAAATAATCATGTGTGCTATAGGAGAGGGAAGGTGGAAGAACAGCTAGAAGTACTGATGACATGAGCTTGGCCATGGATTGGCTGGAATTATTAAAGATGAATGATGTGGACAAAGGTGTTCATTAATATATTCTCCCTCTTGACATGCATTTGAAATTTTATAAAATAAATTTTTAAAATGTACGTGCCTATTTTATGCTAAATGGTACCAATAGTTTAGCATACTTGGGTAGGAAAATAAAAGAATAAGATGTGGTATTCAACCTCAAGGAATTCCCAGTTTGAAGTGAGTGGTGGGCTCAAACAGACACTGCAACATCACACAGCATTCAGGCCTACCGCCAAAGGATTCCATTCTTTCTGGAAAAAGCAGCTTTTAAAATAATAAATCAGGAAGGCAACATATTCTGTTTGTTTTGTGACAGAGAGATATTGAGGACTAACTAGAAGAGGGAACACCAGGCAGGGCAATAACATGGGCAGGAGGGCAAAGTCACAATGGACAGGACTCTGTATATGTATGTGTGTGAAAGAGTGTGCACTTGTGAGGGCACAATAACATTCATATATGTGTGAGAGAGTACATGTGAATATGTATTAAGAATGTGAATTTGTGGGGGCCGGGGATTTAGCGCAGTGGTTCTGCTGCCTGCCTTGCAAGCACAAGGACCCGAGTTCGATCCCTGGTACCAAAAAAAAAAAGAATGTGAGTTTGTGAATAAGTATTTGATGAGCTTGTATATGCAAACGTAAGAGTATGTATTTCATAAGTTATATGCACATATGACATGTGTGTATATGCATGAAAGTGCAAGGATACAAGTATTACAAGGTTGTATACATGTGCATATCTGCCTGTGCATGCATGAGTATATGTTTTGGGGTGCATGCACAAGGAAAAGCTGGAGAGGGAGAATGATGCCAGATGGTGGGGTATCTTGCAGACCTACAGTTGACTGGGAGCCAGCCACTGGGGAGGAGAGATATGGTGAGGCTGGCATTTTAGACAAGCCATGTTGGGAAAGAGGCTAGCAGGAAGGTACACAGTTCAGATAAGATGAGAGCTCAAGTACTGTGTAGATTGCAGAGACAAGAGGAGAAAGGAGAGATCAGATGTGATCAAGCCTTAAGACAAAGGCTTACATCTGGGAGTCTTAGTTGGGGTACCTAAATGGATGTTGCCACAACCAGAGAATTCAGGAAGAGGATTAAGTACAGCATGGGTGATGTGCTGCTAAGCACCACATGGTAAATTTAAAGTGCTTGTGAAAAAACTAAAGATGTCTAAAAACACAACTAGTCAGCAAAATTTGAGGCTTGAAAGATATGGTCCAGCTGCAGATATTACAGATTGAACATACACAGTGGGCAATTAAAAAAAATCTGAGAATATGTATGTAGCATAAGGAAAATAGGCCAAAGACGGAATGACATGGGCAAATAAACACAAAGCAGAAAGAAAAGGGAATTGCAAAAGGATAGCGAGAGAGGTAAATGGAGAGGAATGTAGAATGTGACATGTGCTACAGGGTCAGATAAAATTGCTATCTTGCGCTGGAACTGTTCAGAAAACAACAACAACAACAACAACAACAACAAAACAGTTGCAGAGTTCAGTGCAAGGGCAACGTTTTGTATCTCAAGGCACCTAGTTCAGGGCTGCACACATATTTAGTATGTAGATGACTGAAGGGAAGTAAAGGACACAGAGGAGACATTATGCATTGTGTGGAGCCTGGAGGCAGAGATGAGTACCAGAGAGGATACCTGCCCAAAAGCCTGGGCCGGGAGGTACACAGAGCCCTGTGAAAAAGCTAAGTCACAGTGGTGTCTGGGGAGTGAGACATGGGTTTGGGTAAAGAAAGGGAGTAACAGTAGATAAAGATTACTCATTTTACAAGTACAAAAACTAATTCTAATTCTCTACACCTGTTTCTGTTCCTTCTTCAGCTATATAAGCCCTGAACAAAATACTAGGAATTGAGGTAATTTTTCCTAAAACTTTATTTCAAATGGAGTTCATCTTATAATTTTATATATCTTAAAGATGCTTATAATAAAGTTACATATAAAAAGAGCAATTATGCATATTGAGGCAGCTATCACACAGAGTTAATGTAAAGCACTATAAAATGACTGAAAAAATGAGTACTGTGTTTGCCTCTGAGCTTCCTGGCAACAAAGATTAAAAAAAAAAAAAGTCTGTAAAGATTTTATTTTATTAAAAGGAAACATGCAAAAACCCCAAGAGAATAGAGCCTGAGACAAAAGATCACATGGATCTTACCACAAAGCACAGTGTTACACTTAGTGTTGTGAACAGAGATATGTACATATATGTGAAGATGAGTGTTTACATGTATGTGAAATGTACATAGGCGTATACTCTCAAGAGAAGCATGTATATGCACATATGTTCAAATACAGCTTTGTAAAGATGCAGACGTGCTTGTTATACACATAACTATTTCTTATTTGAATCAAAGCTAAAGCAATGACTTGTAATTCACCAGAGATGGCTCCACTGGGAGCTAAGCTAATGCAGTCTAAGTACTATATACTGCTTTCCAGTAATCTAATTTAAGGATGAAACTTAGAGCAACAATGATAGCAATCAGTAGGCTAAGCTATGCAGGAAAGTCAGCACTATCTCCTATGTATTCCACAGACACTGTATTATGGGTACTAGAAGAAAGCTCACTGAACTAAGTTCCAGTGCAACTATTACAGGGTGTCTGGAAGGTTTAAATAATAAAGAAAAAAAATCACAAAATAAAAAGACATAATAACCTTAACCATGTACCCAGATACCTTTATGGGATTAACTTTTCTGTTTATGCAACAGCATCTTACTGCACCATCAATACTTCATAAGCTACAGGAAAAAATTAATGAAGGTTTGAATAACTAACTTATCAAAAACATCAACTTTTGAAACTAAGTCCATAAGGGACAAATTTCAACATAAAGTTTTCTTACCGGATTTGTAATTGTGATGATTTCTCCTTCACTAACTGTCAGTTCATTATTTCCAGGTTCAGCAGCAAAATCATACATAACCCGAGCCTATTAGAAACAGAGAAGAATAAAGGAAGTAACATAAGTAAACCAAACAATAAAAATCCAAATAACCCTATGTGTTCCCTTTGTAAAATGCTAGCTGATAGGAAAGGAAGAACATTACCAAAATAATTCACCTACTGTACACATACTGAAGCAGCTATCACACAGAGGTAATGGAATTTTAGGAATTGTTCCTAAAATTCTTTTAATGGGGATGAAGGATTCCCAATTAGTAATAAAAGATTGGGGGGTTTACCATTTTGAAATACATTAAAAAATAAAATGGACTGGTGGGTTTGTGATAATGCAGGGGCTGTACAATGTTACAGAATCTAAGTGAGTTATGTTGTTAAATGGAAAATTATTTCACCTTTTCTACATGTTTGAGATTTTTTCCTACTGAAATGTTGGAAAGAAACAAATGATATGGTACTTTTCCAATCAAGAAACCCCATCAGCTCCTTTTTCTCTGTCCCTTGACCTCAGGGAAGGGATGAGCAACAGAGGCAAGTGAGAAAGCAAGCACTACTAGCACTGTGAGTCAGGACAAAGGACAAAGAAACCACGAGGAGGTATTTTTTTAACACAGCTGCAAAGTAGATAGAATTCTGCTTGTCATGTTGTGGGATATTTTTAAAAAACATGTCACATCAATCTCAGTCCTCAGTGCAATGAGCACAGCAAGGAGATAAATGCCTGACGATGCCCTGCGGAAGGAAGCTAGCTTCCCCTGGAGAGAAGCCCAGTGTGTGGACTGAGCCAAACTCCAGGGCAGCAAGAGGAACCTGCTGTAGTGCTAGTTTACCATAAGAATCTTGCTTAAAAAAAAAATTCCGCTAAATCAAATTAATCCCAAAACACAGAATGCCTAAGCCTTTTATTTACTCAACTTATGATCTGGTGAACAGGTACAAAATAAACGAATGGGTACTCTCTGATACATTTAGATATTACTGAAGATTTACTCACTGCTGTAGTTGAATGTTTTTGTCCTCTCTTAAATTCATGTTGAAACTTAACCGACAATGCAACAGTTAAGAGGTGGGACCTAATGGGAGGTGTTCTGTTCTCACGAATGGACTAATGCCACCTTAAAACTGTGGGAGTGAGTACACTCTCTCCTGTTCTACCTTCTCTCCTCCACAGGACAAACTGTTCAAGGCATTATTCTGGAAGCAGACTCTAGCCTATAATCTACAAAACCCTGATCTTAAATTTACCAGCCTCCAGTATTGTGAGAATAAATTTCTATTCTTTATAAATCATCCAGTCTCAAGTATTATATTATGGTATAACAAAAAAGGCTAGGACACTCATGAAAAAGTCTTTATAAACACTGTAGATTTGTTTGTTTTGGTACCGGGAATCATAACTCAGAACCTTGTGCTTGTGAGGCAGGCGGCAGCACCACTAAGGTAAATCCCCAGCTCAACACTGTAGATTTGTTTAAAACACTGAATTAAGACTTACTAAAAACAACTACATATGCTTTTTAGAAATTAGAATGGAGAATAATTTTGGACAAAAGGAACTCAGTAAGTACATTTTCAAATGATCATAACATGTCACTAGGAAAAAAAAAAAACAAACTTGACCATTCAGTCTAGAGAAAACAAAGCTTAGGTAAAACTGGGAATATTTAGCACTGAAACCTTTTTTGTCTTTCCTCTCTCTGTATTTGGCTTCCACCTCTTTTCTCATGTTCTACTCTTATCACCCCCTACTTTTTCCATCTTCTCCAGCAGTGATAGTATCCAAATTGATAAAGATAAACCAGCCAATCTATTTCTTATATGGCCTTTTAGAGAAAAGGTTCATTTTTTTTACTCTGCCCTTTCCAGTGTTAATACACACTTTCAGAAATATTTCCCTGGACTGGAGATACAGCTCAGTGGTACAGTGCTTGCCTAGTATGATCAAAGCTCTGAGTTCAATCCCTAGTTCCACTCTGCCTTCAAAAGCTAAATTTCCACAAAGCTCCTGGTTAGCAGATTACTTCATTCTACATATTCAATACCTACTGCCAACCACAATTCATCTCTTCAATAGGTATTTCAAAAGTCACCACAGATGCATTGTTAGTACACATGAATCTCGCGTTATGTGTTCCATTAACTATTGATATAGTTATAAGTAAAATAAATATTGTTAGATTCAATGTTCTCGCATTAAATGCTCCAGACACTGGAATACTGAGAGTACCACAACATATGTGCCCTGGAGGAATAATCTGTCATCTTGAACACAATTTCCTTTTCTGAGGAGAGGAACATGCAAATGTTCATTATTTTTTACTTATTACTTAGGTCGCCCACATTTTGTCTGCCCCACACCCTTCCTTTTGCTCCTGCCTAACTCCAGGTGAAAACATAAGTCACTAGCCTTAATATGAAATATGAGTTATAAAGAATATTTGCAATTCATGTCACAAAGGGTTACTTTTATATATAAAGAGCACTTAAGATTCAAGATAAAGACCAAAACCCAAAAGAAAGTGGGGCAGAAGAAAAAAAATACACATGACTCTTAACATATGAAAAATCACTCATCTGAAACATAATGAATGACAAATTAATTAATCTGGCAAATGTTGCCAGATTTTGCTTCATTAGGATTTTACCATTTAAACATCTAACAGTAGTATATATGAAAGTAACAGTTTCACAAACAAAATAAAGCACCAACTTGCATTTCTTCTAATGTGATAGTTAAGGAATGTTACACCAATATAGTTTTAAACATACAATTACTCTTTGCTATAGTTTGGATCTTAAGTTATCAAAGGCCCGTGTGCTGGTGGCTTGGTTACCAGTCCACGGCACTAGTAAGAAGTGGTGGAACTTTTAGAGTGGGGTCCTTGTGCACTTGAAGGGGACTATGGGACCATGCCCCCTTCCTCTTCCTTCACTTGCTGGCCCTGGGGTGAGCAGTTTTGCTTTACCATACACTCCCACCATGATGTGCTGCCATGACACAGGAATGCCTAGTCAAAAATTTGTTTTCTAAATTGGGGTTAGGGTTGCCTAGCAAGTGTGAGGCCATGAGTTTGACCCTCTGTACTGCCAGGGGGAAAAAAGAAAAAGAAAAGAAAAGAAATTTAAAGCATTGTCTTTCACCATAACCTAGGATGCTAAAAATTATGCCGAAAACATCAAAATATATGAGAATACTTCCCTGGTTATAACAAAGCAAAAATATTCCTGAGCTTAACTCAAAGGCAAATTAGAAGGCCATCAGAATCCATACTAAAGGCTACATAAATGATTAAACCATCTTCCAAGAGTTCCCATTCTGAGAGTGCTGTTAATTTCATAGACATGTCATATCTAAATACTGTACTGTACATGTTTACAATGAAGGCAATGTAATGAAGTTAACACATTCCTACCAGTGGTACATGCATGCATGTCCCATCAGGTGGCATGGGTTCCATCGGGTGGCATGTACAGCCCCATCAAGAACGTGTTAAAGCAGAGAAAGTTAAAAATTGTTTCTCTTCCCCTGCCAAAGGGTGTGAAAATAGTTTTAAAAGTACCCTTCAAAATGTTATGTATTTAATGTGTCTGCACATACACATACCCTCAATTATTTAGAAATAAATACACACAGAACCAGTTAAAACCACAGCATACACAAATCTACCTACTCTTCATTTTTTGGTCTGATCCTCGGACTCTCATGTCAGTACACCTACCTGCTTTTTACTACAGCTGGAAGGTTACTAATCTACTCTTAACTTTCAGACAGAACTTAGCTATAGCTAAGAAAATAACCTTAACTCTTATCCCCAAATTAAGACAGTTGTTTTGTTTTTGCTGATTGTAAAACTACATGTTTACTGCAGGGAAAAGTATAAAAAAGTTGAAGAGCAAAGATACCCAAATCCCAAAGACAACTAGTAGAAACTTACTCTCAGTAACAGTGCCTGTCTCCCACTTGCTCACCAACACTGTGTACTGACAATGTGGTTCATTCCTCCCAAAGGGGTGGGGGCGTAATCACTGGCAATCCAGGGATTCTGAGCTGGTTTTGGAGCCAAGCACAGGGGTTCAAATCCACATTCTACCAGTCGTGAAAACCTGGCCCAACTTTTTAACTTTATGTCTTAAATTCCTCAAGAATAAGATAAGGATAACAGCACGTGACTTGTGACATGAATGAGCAATGAAGTAATAAAAATAAAGCACAGGGAAAACTGAATGGCACAGAAAGCCAATAGAAGCTAGTCACTGTGACCTTTGACTGCTTTGAACATTATATATGTGAGGTTTAAAATAATTTATTACAGTAAAAGACACATTCCCCTGAGTCCCACTTAAAATACTCCCCCTTGCTTTCAACACAAACAAGGCTTGGCCACTTTCTGAAGCAGTCCCAGAAGTTCTCTTTCCACGGTCTTTATGAGGTAGGATGAATTTTAAAGTTTAGACATTCACTGTAGTTTTAGATCACAACTCACACATTCTGCCTGTGCTGAAAATGGTGTTACATACTATACAACTACTTGCTTCCCAGACCACCAAAGGTTCTGGAACTAATCTCAGGATTCAGAGGAAAAGAGTAACAGCTAATGATTCCCATGAAAGGTGTTTCTGGAGTCTGCTCTTTCACAAAATTGCAAAGAAACCAGATCCAACCAAGTAGGGGGATGAGCCAGACCCACCCAATTGTGCTGTGTGGCCTGTGGAGCCTGACTGCCCAGGCAGCATCAGCAGGGCTGGCACTCACGGAGTTGAAAGCAGGAGCTAACAGGAGCTAAGAACAGGAAAGCAGCAGGTCCCGGGGAGTGTGGCTCTCTTCAGTGGACTGGGGAACCAACAACTCTCACACACTCATGCATGACATGATGCAGGTTTATTTGTATCTTACTGATCATTCTGACAGGAACCAAAATAAAGTTTTTCTGGTATATTTGTTTATATATGCGTATATTTAAGTGTGTATGTATGTGTTTTTAAGACACTGAGGTACAGTAGTATCATCTTATCATTCACATCTGGGAG